TATGCTCAATTTTGCAGGTAAATGTTATTCAGAAGGCAAGCTTTTGAATTTTGGTTTACCTAGAACTAAAGTTGGATGCATTTGTCAATTTTGGTGATGTTGGGTTTTTTCCTTTTTGCAGTCCACTTCTTTCATTCTTACACGCATCAATCAACTCTAGTGTCGTTGATGGTGATTTGGATCTTGTTAATGATGCTGCCTTGTATTTGAAGTATATATTTCGTGCTATTAAAAGAGCTAAGGATGCTGTTGATGCTCAGAGAACTCCTGTGAGACTTTTAATTCTTTTTAGATATCTCTTGGGTTAATAATGCATTTAATGTTGACCCAAGAAGAGGATTTTTGTGAATAAGGCGATTTCTTGCAATGCAGAGGCTGCACTTTCTAGCAGACATTGGAATTTCTGGTGTAAATTCCTTGCATCGAAATGGCATCTCCTCCGTTCGCACACTGGGAACGATTTTGCTTCCATCATCATTATATAAAACAACTCCTATGGAAAGTGAAGAGGCAAGTTCCCAATGACTTTTTCTTGTCTGCATGTAAAATATTGTTCCAAAATTCTGATTTAGTTGTTGTGTGCAGGCTAATTTCAAATTTCTTACTCAAAGTTTAGTTGAGAGCGTAGTTCACATTTTCAAGTTGCAAGTCTCTCTGGTGTGTAAGGAGTTGTTGATCATATGATTAACATGATTAATATATTGATGAATTTTATATTTGAATGTCATCCATGTGCATGTGTGTGCACATACAAACACACATACACACACATGCATGCAATTTCATTGGAGATTGCTAATTCCGTATTTGCTTCTATGTTTCAGCCAGTTGGCTCTGTTCATAAACGTGGTCGAAAGTGTCATGAGGATGGTACTTTGAACAAGGTATTGGGCAAGCAAGTTGATTTATCAGCTTGTGGAGCACTTGAAACCCATAAGAGATCTACAAGGAGGGAAACCAGTTCAGGATGTAGGCGAGGACATGCTGTTCCTCCAAATGCACTGGTATCTATTGGATCCCATAATAAGGGTTTTACTCAGGAGCCGGAATATGGTGCATCTAACAGTTCCGAAGCAGCTTTAGAAAAACATCAACCTTTTTCTTCCTCTGGTTCTGTCACTCAGAAACCTTCTCAGATGGAATCACAAGTTTCAACTCAGAAATTTGAAAGAAGTAATGCTTTGAAAGGAAACAGTGGGGCAGGTAAAATCATTAATGCTGAAGCTTCCCATAGTCGCAAAGTGAAGTTCAATATTGCTTCAAAAGTAAGATTTTTCTCTAAGTGAGGCCAATTGTAACTTTAGCCTTTCTGCCTGTTGATATCCGACCTAAATTAACTGTATTTTTGAATTAAGCAGGAATTGGCTAGTGCAAATGAGGTATTAATTGGACAGCGGATCAAAGTATGGTCTACCTTTGATAGCTGGTGAGGATATCTTGTTCTGAGGAGATATACATTTCAGCAATTTTTGAAGTGTGTGTGCAGCTTTTAGTTGTTTTTTCGTTTGTCAGTTTTCATTCGGGCACTGTGGATGACTTTAACCCTGAAAACAACACTCACAAGGTAAATGCTTACAAATATTGTTACCGAGTGGACTGTTTGATCTCTAATAGAAATTTCGGTATAGTTTTACAACCATGTGAGACACTTAACTTGATCTGTTGTTTTTATTTTATTTGTTGTCTCTAATGTCTCAAAGAAATGTTAAGCTGTGGCGAGTTGATGAGGTTTCTCTGATGTAGGATTGAAATGTTTATACCTGTAATGGTTTTTTTACAGTTTAAGTTATAAACACTAAAACAGGACATATTTATATATAGTTTCTTTCTGGAAGAACTTGTTTTGTCTTGTTGGCCTTCTTAATCAGCTATAAAATGTGATATACGTGCATTAGTGAGCTTCCTTCCGCCCTCCACAAGCACACACACACCCCAAAAGAAAAAGGGGAAGAGAAATAAAAGAAATAGACCTACTTTGCTCAGCCAACAATAATATAACCCAGTTGTTTTGATTATATTTTGTTTTCTTGCAATTGACAGATCACATGTGATAATGGGGAAGTTGAAATATTATGCTTGGACAGTGAGAGCTGGGAGACAATAAGTGACTGTTCCTCGACAGAGAGGGTAAGCATGGAAGCTAGAGTTTCTCTTTTCAGCTTCAAACTGTTGACTCAAGCATTTGTTTGTGTTTGAAAGCTGTAGAAGATTCTTTGTCCAGCTCCATAAAAGTTTAGTTTAGTTAGAATTAGATCTGCTCTGAGTCAAGTAGTGAAAATAATCCTATTCTTCCTTCTTTTTTATTGTTATTTTTGATGGAGAATTAGGGAGGAGGAAGGGGGTTTTGAATTGGAACCTGGGATTTGGTGCCAGCCTTAAATGGCTGATTACCACCAAACCAAGAGGTTATTGGCAAAATAATCCTGGAACATTGAAAAGAAAAATAGGAACAAAAATAGAGAATGTACACAAAATTTAGAACAAGGATCTTATTGTTGTTAAATCCTGCATTGATTTCCTTCAATTTAAAGCTTATGGTTTGTGCTGCATCACTCTGTGATCCTTCATTGTTCATATCTCTTTGTGATTGGATCCTATTAATCTTATTCTGTCCATTTTTTGCATTTGAAGGAGGTTGTACTGTCAGATAAGGCAAACAACTTGCATTTGCGGGAATGGTAAGTTGACCCCTTAATGCTTTGGTTATAGTGATCTACATCCTGCTCTTCCCCCCACCCCCATTTCTCACCCCCCTGAAATTAGCATTGGACATATTGCTTATATCATTTCTTTTTGTTAAGTTTGTATTTTTCATCATACAAATTAATCGAATGATGGTTGTATGAATTTTTTCCCCCTCATCTCTTGTTAGGGCTATTTGGGACTTGGACTGTGAACTAGCTGTTGTTAAGCCATGTCTTAACTTTGTACTTTCTCCTTTCTTTAAATTTTGTTTCTGACTTTCCAAAAAATGCAAACCAGATAAACTAACACCTCTCCCTTGTATCTGTGCTTTGTCATTAATCTTGTTTTCATTTTAATTAATTTGCATCTTTTAACACAAAAATCTGACATGGTGCCTGCATCTGTTTTGATATTCTTGAGTTACGGAGGATTTTTTCCACTTTTAACCATGGTTCAATTCTTTTCTCTCTAGGGGTTACTGATTTAGTGCCTGTTTGGAAAGTTAGGTTAAACAAGAATTTTGAGAAACTTTTAAAAAAATAGTGCTTTTTTGAAACAAAATTTATGAAGAAAAGAGCTTAATAAAAAGCTTCAGGGATGAACTTTTGCTTTTTTTATTTTTTTAAAAATATGTCAGCTTTGCAAGAAATAGTTTTCTCTCAATCAATCTCCTTTTTATTGAAGGATAGATATACAAATTAAGACTTACTTTTCCTTTTTCCCAGTATATCCTTTTTATTGCTCGGTTTTATATAACTCATTGCTACTTTCTGCAATCCTTTGGTGCATTCTGCTCTCAACAGTGTCCAAGACACACTTGATAAATTTAGAGCTGATGCTAGTCAACAGTCGAAGACGAAATTAAACATGGAGGATAGAAAGTTTCGTAGCAGAAAAGTTCCCTTGTCTGGTAATTTATCTGTCTATTTTATCATTTTTTTTTTGTGACTGTTTCATGTTTATTTAGATATAAGGCAATAAAAGGCTTTTTTATTTAAATTAATGGAAAGTTGATTTAGTTTTTGGTTCAGAAAAGAGAAAGATGGGACAGATTTTATCCAGAGACTTGTCATCAGCATCAGAAATTATCAATGTAGATGAAGATGCTGTAAGCACAATTTATGCATGTCTTATATTCATTCATTTTATATCTGTTTCTTATTTAGGAAAACCCTGAAAAGATAAAATGGCATAAATTAAAAGGAAATATTAAGTTTTTGCAAAATAATCATTTATTCTGAAAGCGCCCAGAGATTACCGAACCAAGTGCTTTTTTATTTTTAACGCATTTTTCTTTTGGCTTGTTTCAGGTCGCTAAAAGAACTCGGAGGAAAGTATAACTAGTTGCTAAGAAAAGAGCAAATGCACTGCCTGCTGACTCACCAGTACTTACCTTTTTTACCAAGTTTTTCATCTTTGATACTGCTATTTTGTAATTATTTGTTTTTTTTTTTAATTTTTGTTGGTAAATGTCTTGTTACATGATTGATTTTGGCAGATGTAAACTATACCATCTGTTGGCAACCAACTTGAATTGGGTGCAAGGTCAAAAAGAAAAAAAAAAAAAGGTGAACAGAAAAAAACTTGTTGATTAATGCAAAATCAAGCTTGTGATTTGTGGGGTGACATTGTGCTTCAAAACTATACTTTTTATTTATTATAAATCCACCACGTGTCATAATCCTACTGCTCGGAACAATGTTGGTCACAAAAAGAAAATAGTAGTGGAACAATAATACAGGTTCATTTAGACCTGTAAAAATAATAATGATAAATTTATAGATATTAAGAAAGCACACTTACAGTAAAAAATAATATGTATAATATTTTTTTAAAATAAATTATTTATAAAAATTTAAATAAATTCAAACAAGGTTTTGTGTTTTCATTTGAGTTAAAATAAATTTTTATAATTAAAAGTTGATTAAATGTTAGTTAAATTGTTATATTATTTTTATGTTATGTGTTAATGACACGGTATGTTTTAATATTTTAAGTGTATTATGTTAATTTGATTTATTGATATAATTATGTGATATTTTTATTATTTATATTTGAATAAAAAATGATAAGTGATTTTTTAATTAATGATAATTAATTAATTTTTAGTTATAAATTAAAAAATTTATTTGATTTAAATTTAAAAAAATAAAATTTTAATTAAATGTATTAAAATAATAAATATTTATGTAAATCTTTTTCAATAAGTTTAAAAAATTTTAAAATATTATTCAAATATTAATGTTGAAAAAAATAATAAAGATACTAGAAACTAAAACTTGGAAGAGAATCCCATCCCAATCGCAGCACGCAAGGAAAGAATATCTGTAACCCCGCAGCCAAACATACCAATTCTTTAACGTTTTCTTTCTCCCCGACTCCAAGCATGTTGTTTCAGTAGAATTGAAGTCTTCAACTCTCTGAGGAAAACACAAACCAGTGACTGTTTAAGCTCTTTGCAAATTGGATGGATAAATTAAAGACCGATTCTCCCATCTCTCGTCGCATCGTTCGCTCCTTCTTAGATTTCCTCAATTCTGGTATACTCTCTCTCTCTCTCTCTCTCTCATTTCGTTCTGTAAAGTTCTCATTTTTTTATCATTCAATTAGGTTAGCTAAGCGTAATAGCGTTTTTCACTTATTTCTTTGTTCTTTTTGCTTTATTTTTAAAGTGGTTTTCTTCTTGATTGCTCTTGATTTGCTATGATTCAAAAGCGAAATTGGCTCGTTTGCTGATTGATTTTGGCTTTTGGAAAGCTTAAAGCAAGAGTAAAGGTGTTTCTTGAATGCTATCTCTTTTTTTTTTTCACCAGAAAATTAGGCAATTCTTGTTGGAATGTAGGTTATTTACAACTTAAGACATGTAAATTCCAAGTTGAGGTAAAAACTTGCATATTTTCATGGAGTGTGATAAAG